TATGAATCAACATCTAGTAATGAATAGTTGCAAGAAAAAACAAAATGCACCAATCATAAGCTAATCTCGAATGTATAGAAAATTAAGAAGATCCAACAAAACATATATTAAATTGAATTTCATGAGCCCTATTTGCAAAACCAGGAAACTGGACAAGCCGATATTTGACCCAAGGTAAAATCAAGGCCATGCTCATAACTCATAAGGGATTCAGAATGGTACAGTTCTTTCATTTTTTCTTTTTTTTGGTTTAATTCTGTCAATATTTGAGAAATCATCAAGCTTGACAAGCAAGAGTATAGTTGGGAAGCAATTCTTATTAAACACACTTTGTTGTTAAATCCCCTAAAACAGTATTTGCAAAGAAAACAAAACATTCCACCAGATGGGTCACATATTTTCATTTCCTGCAACCGAAAACCATGTACAATTCAGCTAGACTTTGCCCAACCAAAGTAAGGCCTCTTTGGTTTTCTCTAACAGCAAATTAATAACAAAACATCTCAAACTTTCATCCATATTTTTTTAAATCAAAACTACATACAAAAACATCCAACTGAACTATATGGGCATAACTCAGCAATTCTGAAAAAATGGGTGGTCCATAATTTCAATTAGGAGGGATAGAACACCCTATAAAACCCTCTTGCTTGCTAGCACTATATTTAAGTAGTTAAATTTCTAAAACTTTTAATTTCCCATAACTAGGGACTTGAGAAAACAAAACCCTCCACTCAGCTGCGATAAATCCAACTAATTAGCCTAGTAGAATTGACCTTCCCATTCGAATATCAAACTCAAAGTAACAAAAACACATAATGCAAATCCCAAAATTGGCGTTTCCCTTCGTTTACTCCGCCACCAAACAGGTAGTAATTTTAAGGCAACAAAATTCCAAAAAAAGGCTAAAATATTTACCTTTAACGAATGTAATTGCTTGCGAGGTCCGAAGGCCACACGAGGAACAAAATCAACAGAAGCACAAGAGGAATCGGCAATAGAGAAAGCTTTCTTGCGTAATTTTTTATTGGGTGGAAGACCCGGTTGGAGAGAATTCAATGACAGCGACAAGGAGGCCAACAGAGAAGAAGAGGAAGAGAGTCGTAACGAAGAAACTGAGAGACACCGCTGATTTTGGGGGAAGTGACTTTAGAGGCCGACTGATTTTGGAGAAGCTTCGCGGGCGGGCTGGGTTGGGGTTACTTGCGTTGGATGGGATTTTTTTGGAGTGGGATGGTACTTAGTAATTTTATTTATTTTTTTTACTCTGGGCTTAGGCCCACTTTAACCAACTAATAAATCTGTCCTTGTGCATGTGTCGATTGAATTTGTCAACACTTCCATAATTTAACAGAAATTTACCAATGTGAAAGCTGACTTTATTAATGACCTTATTGATTAATTACTATTTTTATTTTATAAAGAGTTGTTATATCATTTTCACTTTCATTTAATCAACCTAATATGTAAAAAAAGAAGTATTGAATACGTGCTAACTGTCTTTTTATCTTATTTTTACATAAAGTGTACTTACCCTCAAAATCAAGCTTATAATCTCATAGTTGCTAATTCGATAGCATTACCACCGTACCAAACAATCAAACTAGGAAGGAAGTACAAATATGATCCATTTACGAGTGACAAAGGGTTGCTCTAGTGAAAGCAACGGCTATCAACTACTGAAAGAGAAAATATTTCATGCAACGGTACATATCTCGTAATGTTAATTAGACAAAAAAAAATTGATTTAATTGTTAACTTAATGATGTGATTTGATTATAATTATAGGATTAACACCAAATTTTAATATTTGATGTTGGACATAGTATTTCTCCATCTTTTATATGTAGCAAAGTGCTTGGACTAAAAAGCAGAGACTATTCATCAAGTTCAGGGACTACAATATTCAAGTCTGTGTGAACTCCAAGCAACTTGGTCATCATATTAGGATGATGACTTTTGAGTCATTGCCCCATAATACATGTAAAATCTGCATTGATGCAATGCGCTACCCTCTAAATAAATGAATTGTGGTTGATTAATGTACAGAACTTTATAACAATGGAGTAATGGCCAGATTTGTGTTCGACGAGTGGACCGTGGATCCAACCCTTTTACATGTTCTTTCTCTTTAATGACCTTGTTGATTAATTATAATTCCATTTTCGAAACGATTGTTACACAGTTTGCATTCGATATAATCAACGCAATCACTCGTATAAATGTCAACAAGTAAAAAAAAAAGTATGAAAATAAAAAGAAATAAATTATAGAGAGTAATCAGTAAGTAAACAGTGTTGTAAGTATTTTATATGTGAACAGGAAATTTCTTGATATGCCACTTCCTGAAAAAATGTTATTTTAACTTAATTTGTTAACCTAATGTGGCATAACTACTGAATAGATAACGAAATTAAGTCAACAAATTAGATTCAAGCAAAGAATAGAATGCAAAATGATATGATTCTATTCATAACGGATAGGGAAACAACTGATAAGCTGCAGCCTAAGGAAAGTTTATTTAGACTTAAATTGTTGACCTAATATATCATTAACTACTGAATTAGTAACGAATCTCAACCAATAGTTAAACTTGTTGTCAATCCAATAACAAAGCGAGATTAAGTCAACAAAAAGAATTGGAAAAAATCATGGCACCAATGTTCCACATATTTATTTTAGAGAAAATAGAGAACAAATATTCCAACTGTGAAACCCTATGTAAAACATGTTGCATATTCTTCAAATTAGGGACGGAACCAAGATTTTATCATTGAGGTGAAGGTTTCTGTAAGACTTTAAGCCAATAATGCAATGGTTTAAGATCTTTATTTTTTTTGTTTTCTAAACAAATTAGGATTCTTTATGTTACTTTATTTAGAATTAAGGCATAGTAGGAAAGTCATTTTTTTTAATCAAGATTTACTAATCGAGTGTTGGATTGATGAAAGAGTTCTTTTATTATTTTATTACTAACAATGCACGACGTGCGTTGCATGTAAATAAATTTAAATAATGTTATTTTTATAAAAAATATAATTATATGTGTAATTAAATTAAATAATAAATTAGGTTCTGAATAATTAATCCATATTTTAATTGTTGATTTATTGTATAAGTTTTTGAGTACTTAATCTGTCATTTATTTAGGTATTTCTCCCACTCTTTTAGACATAATTTACACATCTAATTATATATTATAGAATTATTAAATTTTTATTTGTTTGTGTGTGCGGTTACTATGTGTTCATACAATTCAGTATGTGTGTTTCTGCAATATAGTGTGTGTTGAGCTCACAACTAAGGAAGTGGATTCGGTTGAGTGTCTGTTTGTCTAGGAGAGAGGCAGAAATCGGAGAGTGAAGTAACAGAGCAGTTGTAGAGGGGCATTTGTGTGGTAGAGAAAGCAGAGAGAAGACAAAGTGAGGTTGAAGGGATTGAGCAAAGAGAGAAGACGAAATGAGGTTGCAGAGGGTGGGGGTTTGTACTTCAAGAAGACAACGTCGTTTCAACTCAATTTGTTATACTAAAATTATGACATTCAGCTACAATAGACAGACTGCGGCTGAAAATAGGATAAGAAGACAAATTTACACGAGAAAAAACTATTGTCACTAAAATTGAAGATAACCGGTGGCTAAATCTAAATTCTTGTCACTAAATATTTTTTTATTAACATTAAATTTTGGTGCTACTAAATTAGTGATGAATTATTGATAATCTTTTACTACAACATTAAAATTATCACTAATTAAATTCACAACTTATCTTTAGCAGCAACAATAATTTTTTGCCACTATATATGTATACTTAGTGGCAACATTGTTAACCGCAAACTAAATCTTGCCACTAAAAATTTAATTAGTCTTTATAAAAAAAAGTCTAAAACAAGTTAAAAAAAATAAGTGAAAAAAAAAACAAAAAATAGATTGAAGTATATAGGTGGGTATAATTAATTTTATTATAATAATTAGAGATAAAATAGAAAATCAAATTTTTTTTGCAAATGCTAACATTTATAAATAGTATAGATTAAGATTTTTGGAAACTTTGAAATGCAATATTATTTTATGACTTTCTACTTTAACAAGAAAACTTTATAATGGCAACAAAATATTATTTTACTAAGCAAGAGAATAACATTTACATTCTTAATTGGCTTTGTACCCATTTATCACTTCAAGGGGAAAGATTTGTGTTTTGGTGGAGGGGCCAATATGTGTGAAAATTCGCTTAAACTAAAAGCACCGGTTTTCTCCCTAGGCCTCACTCAAGTCACGAGATTGTGGTGGAGCAGTTTTGGACTTACGTATATGAATCATGATGTGATGCATGAAAAACCTAATCTTTTGTGGCCAAGGCTTAACCACTATATATACCCCTAGTCCCTCAGGTTTCCTCATCGACCATCAATCAAATTCTGTTCGGTTTTACTTCGGTTAAGGTGATTGAGTTTTACGTTATTTTCTCTTGTTGATGTTAGTGTTAAGCTCTTGTGGTTAGTGACTCTGTGCTGAAGTTTTATCATGTTGGTTATTTGATGCAAGAACATAGCATGGTTTTGGTATATATATATATATGGTGACATGCAAATTTCAGTGAACAAGAGTCTGTTGTTGTGTTAAAAAGAAAAAGTGTTGGAGCATGCTCAAGTTTTTTGAGATTATGGTATTAGTTTATGTTCTTAATTATCAATAGGGGATTTTTGAGAACATTCTCTTAGCCTCTGTTAAGGTTTTCCTTGCGCTGACTAGTAATTTCTAAAAATCTCTAAATGGATTTGCAATTATGTTTTTTTTGCTTTCATGTTATCCTAGTAATATGAATGATTAATTCCAATAAAAAATATGCAACGCAAGTACCTTTATTTATGTCTTACACTAACCTTGTATGAGTTGGATATTATCAAAAATAACATTCAGATTTTTTTGGGTGATTAGTACTAATGAGCGTAATGATTTACTTCACTTTTAAATTAATTGGGCAGGTGAGAGAAGAAAATGGCGCACATAGATGCTGCATTTCGTTCGTCTCGTATAAATGAAGCCTATTTTTTTGTGAAGAACGAGTATGTGCTAGTGAACTATGCTCCAGGCACGACAGACGACAAGGTCTTGGTTGGACCGCATCTTATCGGAGCTGGTTATCCATCCCTTAAGGGCACAGCCTTCGCAGAACCTGGAATAGATTGTGCTTTTGGGTCTCATCATATGGATCAAGCGTTCATCTTCTCTGGGAATCTCTGTGCACAAATTAACTACGCACCACACACCACAAATGACAGGATAATCAAAGGACCGATGACCATCACTGCAATGTTCCCCTTCTTCAAAGGGACGGTGTTTGAAAATGGCGTAGATGCCGCGTTTGAGTCAACAAAAAACTACGAAGCTTACCTCTTCAAAGACAATCAATATGCTCTTATAAACTACGATTATGATTCCCACCTCATCTCCATCGATCTCACCAATCGAGGCTTTCCTAGTTTGAAAAACACCATCTTTGAAAGTGGAATTGATGCAGCGTTTGCTTTGCACAATACTGATGAGGCATACCTATTCAAAGGAGATTACTACGCGCGCATCAACTTTGCTTCCGGCACCACAGAGGACAACATTACTGGTGGCATCAAGAAGATCCTTACCTATTGGCCCTCTTTACGTGGTATCTTGCCTCTCAAAAGTAGTGGATGAACTTTAAAAGGTCAATCTTATGTGCCAAAGTGTGGATGGCATTCTTTGAATAAGAGTTTAGCTCGGGTTGGCAGTTTCTAGTTTTTCTTTAGTAGGAATAATTAAGGATGTATGTAGTGGGGATTGGGGTGATCTTATCTCCTCCTCCTTCAACCACCTTATAAATAAAACTCATAGAAAGTTTGTTACTTTCAAATACATTCATCTGCACGTGCATACCTCATTTTTAAAAAAGAGTTGCATGCTATTAATGTGCAAGTCTCAATTTTGTCCCTAGAACTTTGAGCAAAGGAAAATTATGTTGACTGTAATCATAGATAAGGAAATTTTTTAATTTTTATTAATATAAAAAAGCAATAGAAGGATCTAATGATATTTCAATCAATCAAGTCACTTCGCATTGAAATTCGTTAGTTGACCGTTATATTGGTCTAGTTAAAATAAAAAATTAATCAAATCAAGTCAAGTCACATTGTGTTATGACTGTATTCATTCTTATTTATCTCGAGTACTAACCAATATGATTTAACATACACAATTGTTATATGATTGATAGAAATCGGTATATTTTGTAAAATTAAAAAATTTAAAACTTAATTATAAAGGAAAAAACGATAATTAGTCGATATAATATGAGTTGAAAACTCAAATTTTTTTAGAATTCAAATGATGAAACAGATTTCACCATTAAATTTACCTCGTGAAAATGAGTTGGGTGTATAAATTTTATTAAATTATGAGATAGTAAAAAAAAATCACGCAGGCGAAATAGGTGATCGGGTTATGTGATTACAATTCCAACAACTAAATTTTTATTTGCGGGACCCATTAAAGTAGTTAGTCTCTACAATTGACACATTTCAAATTGTGATTGATTTTGAGATATTTCAAGCCAATTAAAAAGAGACACATGACAACCTCTACACCAAGCATTTGAGAAAAAAAAGAAGTAAGACTTGGTCTTCCCTTTTTGCCCGGGATGACAGAAGGCGTGAGAGAAAGTGAGATAGAGGAAAAAACTAAAAGTTTTCAATCCTCTTCATCTCCATTCAATTTTATCTTTCAATCCGACTGTTAAAATTTGATCGGGCTCTACATCGAGGCCTATCCATTGACACCAAGATCGCCCATATTCCTTCACGTTTTGCTGCCCAGATTTTTTTGGACAGTAGCTGGGTCAACTCAGTTTTGAGTTGTTTGGCTCACTCCTTCAGGTATTTGCTCGTGTTTCCCTGACTACTTCAAGGAGGTTTCATCACCATTTTACCTTGCATTTTGAGGGTTTAAAGCTTCAAATACAAGGTGGGTTTCCCTTCTATTGGGTATTAATTTCAAACTAGTGTGTTATGTGAGTTGGGTTAAGTGTAGGATTTATAGTTAATCCTTTAATTTATGGAGCCCTATTATGATTAATTTGTTATGTGTTAGAACTAGTGGCTTAAAACATGATAATTGTAAATTAACATGGCCTTGAGGAATTTATGACATATCAAGTTTAATTGATTTATTGTATGTATATGGGTATGAATTTATACGTATATTAAATGGATAAATTAGCAAGTGACTAGTATGGTCAATTGTGCTTATGTTCATTGAAATTAATGAATTTGTTGCTATGTGAAATTATGTTAATTTAATTAATAAACATATTGCTATGTGGTGTGAGTGTGTAATTTGATACATATTACATGTTGATGAAATGCTATGATACTAAATATATGCATTTCTTTTGTATTTGAGATTATAAGGCAATTTAAATTGTTTCTGGGCATACATGGCATGTGCATGGGTTTAACACAACATCCATGATGCATTAGTGATAGTGGGTGTTTGTGCATGGGTTGATCACTTATCATATAGGTGAGTGGGCGGGGCTTGGGAATTGGACTAATTCCGGTTAAGTCTCATGGGAATATGCATAATAATTTGTCGAGGTATAGCAAGAAGGACTAAATTCTTTTTCGGGTGCAAGACCCAATTTATCGGTTACACGATATCCAGTGTGTAACGAGTCCATAAAAGTGAGATGCATATGCGGAGCCAGAGGTGGGATGTCCTCAGAATCGTGTCAGTTTGGTAGTCCGTTGTGGAAGTCCATAAATTACCTACCTCATAAAGACAAGGTAATAAATAGAAATTCATGGAGTATATCTCAATGGTGTGGGCATGGAGTGGCCCATGCAGAGCATGACATCACATATGTCGTGGGAGCTCGGGTTT